GACGAAACCCAGGTTTAATGGGTAATCGATGCTCAACAATGGAACGATCCAATCCAGGCATTTCCGTGTAATCCCAAGCAAAAGCAGTCTTTTTAAACTCTTTCAACAAATCTATCAACTTTGACTTATATTCGGGTCTAACTTTGCACTAATATACATCGGCCTTGGCTTAGAACCATCACCAACATTGATTTCCTCCAACTTATCGGTTTGACATAAAACCACGCCCAACTTTCCTTTGTTGCCATCGACGGGATTTCCCATTAAAAATTGCTATGAGAGCCGACTGCTTGGATCGGCTGTTGGCTTTCGCTAAAAACATTTACAGGACCTTCTTTCCACACTTTTCCAGAGAAACAATCGACGCCCTCATATTCCCAATAGGTAGATTCCGTGGCAGCAACACTTACCGAATTATCAGCATGTACAACTTCAACATCATCTCCAATCCATTGAATGAGAATTTGATGCATAGTTGAAGGAATGCAACAATTAGCATGGATCCAATCTACGCCCAAGAGTAGACTATATGCCCCTTGCCATCAATGACAAAAAAGGTAGTAATCGAGTTTTTGACCCAATAGTCATTTCGACATGGATAGCACCTCGGGTATCGGAAGGATTGCCAAGAAAATCCCTAAGCACCATGTGGGTTTTGAGTAATTCTTCATTAGTCATCCCAAGTTTCACGAAGGTAGTATAAGGCATGATATTGATAGCAGCCCTCCATCGACAAACATCTTAGTTAAAGGCTTGCCATTGACATATCCCTTTAAATAGAGTGGCCTCAAGTGACGATTCTTGATTGGTTTATCAAAAAAACTTTCTTTGTGTTAATACAAGTGAGCCATCAAATCCTCGACATTCACTTTCATCAAAATCGAGTACACCTCTTCTTGGAATTCTTGGCTTTCGGGAGCTATAAACTCGATGGGAGGAAGAAAGCCATGCAAGCATTAGCCGAAGGACCACATCCATCATCGGGCTTCTTTTAGGACGCCAAATTTGCTTTGTTTGGCAACTTCTTGTTCCAACTCCCTATTCCTCAATCGTTGTACTCTTCTTTTACGGCTTTTCCTTAGGCACGGAGGACACCACTGTCCTTTTGCCATACGTATTTACAAAAGTCAGCTTCTTCATTATGCACTCTATCATGAATCCAACTTTGAACGCAACTCTTTTCCTTTTCTTCGATTCTCAAAGCCACCTATTTTAAGCGCCGATCATCTTGAGAATCTTCGTTCCAAGTCTTTCATAGACGGGACGGCGGTTGACTCGAGATTGCCTATACTCGAGTCTTCGAGCACTACACTCCGGACAATTATTTCTTGCAGGCAACCTCAAACCTTCATTCCAACAATGCCTAAAGAACGAACAACCCCAATGAGACTGCTCTGTTCCGTCTGTATTCTTCTTGCTCCCTTTGGTATACTTCTTCCTCATACCTCCGGCATTCTTCCATAAACCATTGTTTCTTCTGATATTCCTTCTCTTGTTCTCTCTCGCCACTTGTTTAGCAAAATACGTGATGTAACTCGATTTGGAAGTTTGACCTTTCTCGGTTTGGCTATTACGAACCCGAACTCGATCTGTCTGACTCTCATTGGTGATTTGCCGATCCCGGGTCAACAAAGCACCACTCTCCTTTGCTCTATCGAAGTCAACACTTTCACCTTGCCTTTACCTTTGAGATCATTGGCGGATACCACATTCACAGAGAAAGAAATCATATTTTGTGGAAAAGGTGATCATCAATTTTCATCTTGCCATCAAACCTCAAATGTCCCTCTTGGATAGCTTTACGGATTCGCATTACGAACACTCGGCAATCATTAATAGAATGAGAATTAGTGTTATGAAAGCCACAATATTTTTTGTCTTTCACTCCTTCAGACGTAGCATAGGATGTCCTTCGGTAACTTGATGCGTCCTTCCTTTATCAACAATGCAAAAAGTCCACATCCGCCTTAGTAACATCAAAATCATAGGTTCCCTTTTGTTGTTTCAACCAGCGTTGACTAACTTGAGTGGGTTCCTTGTCCCAATTTAACTCAATTTTGACTATCTCATCTTCATCAATATACTCGATTCGCTTCATCCGAAAGCCACGATACACCTCATTAGTGGCATTGTTCTTCCGAAAGCGATTATCTCTCCCGAACCCTTGGGCTTGATTACTCATAGTCGCTAAACGCTGTGCAAGTTGACCAAGATCATCAAACTCTAAACCAAAACGACTTCTCCACGATATTTGGCAACATTCCTACTATAGCAATTCCGGGTAGTTGATCATCCGGTAAATTTAGAGAATAACACATATTCTTGGTCTCCCTAAATCTGCGAAGATACTCCAATGGTGTTTCATTTGTTCTCATCCTCAGACTCATGAGATCAACCAATTTCTTCTCATTGGTACCCAGATAGAAATATGAATGAAACTTACGCTCTAGTTCTCGCCTTACGTACCAATGGAATGAGCGGTAGAGACGTGAACCATGTGAAAGCCGGTCTGTAAGAGACAAAGGAAAATATCGAATCCTCCATGCTTCATCTGAGCAGCTTCTCCAAGTCGCATTAAGTACCGAATCGATGTGCTCTATGGTACTAGTATCATCTTGACCGAGAAAACTTGGTTAAATCTGTTGGAGGCTTCACCCTTGGAGGCAATGCCACTCTGTTGTACCATTCGGATAAGGAGATTTGTATGAATAGGATTGATTCTTTGGCTTCAAGCCGAACTGATTACGCATCATATCAGCCATCCTGTGCATCAAAACATCAATACACGGATCCTGGTTTCCTTGTACTTGCACTCCCGAAGGCAATCCTGAAACACTTCTATACCACAGGTTTGTACGGCATTGACAAAGACTGTAATCGAGTAAATTCTTGATATCCATCTCCATACATATTCTTCTCGTAATCTATTTGATCTTGGGAGAAACTCTATAAGCTGAAAGTGGCACTTCTCTGTGGTACCAAATGTCATCCGCCATAAGTGGGATGTGATTGCTTTTCAAAGTGTGAGTCAATCCACCTATATTTGAAGGCGACGCTACTTCCTTTCCAACAGGCTTCTCTTGATGCTTTGGAACATTGAAAAGCATCGGCCCACTAAGTGGTCCAACATTTTCCTCAAGTATTTATCAACCATTGGGCCAAAAGTACTGATCATGATTGCGAAAGGTATTCGAGAAAAGGCGTGTGATGGTTTGTCATGGTTTCTCCCATAGCTTTATATAAACCGGGCTGCCATCTTCGAGCATCCTCCTCTTGATGTAATCGGTTTGATGCGGAAGAAGAACCCTTGGCATTGATCGCTTTTGAAATACTTTATTGCTCTTGTTTTTGGAAAAAGACATCAAGCACTTCCGTTGGTATTGCTCACACGCTTGTAGCACTAAATCCTTGTAATTATCTGGCAATTCTGCCATGCTTACATCCAGAACATGATCATTGTTGATCTCAGATGCCATCTTGAACTAGCAGATTGTCCCACCGAGCGTGCCAAAAAGTGTGTTGACACAAAATGTGACGCACTGTGCCACACACACAGCAAGCCGAAAAGCGTAGCTTCAATCGGATGCCCGGGTGCTTCGTGATCCGAACGTGCGGTCGGTTTGACACGAAAGAAACCGATAAGGGATAAAAGCAGTTAAATGTCAAACGGAACATGTCGGGTGAGACCGATAGATTCGTATATACGACCCTCGAAGCCACTTACAACGACATACGACTATAGGAAGTCGCTCGCCAACAAGTTTATAAATCATTGGCTAATCGTAAGATGGACATACGTAAAGATCTCGATTGCGAATGCATATGCATGGGAAGACATGTTTGAACAAGTGAAATTGATTATGCGTTAATGCATATCCAAGCTCAAACAATCGGCCGAGTTGGGGTCCATGAAGAAGGAACGTGTAGATAAACATGATTAAGCCAATCTAAAACTCAAATGCGCCGCAGACGACACCTAGTTTCATCAAAAACTTAAACGTGGTTAACATACATGAACCCACAACATGTGACAATCTAGATTAAAATAATTTGGCCATTACGAGCATGTTATCTATTTGCAAAGGTATTATGAAAGTAATGATCATTGAAGCTCGAATAAAACCATAGAAGAGGGCGAACAATATCAATCTAGATTGGGCAAAAGTGTGTTACAAATATATAAAATATTTAAAACATGCAACACAGGATAACTTGATGAATCTATTTAGATTTTGCCGTAATCTAATAGAGCCGATAAGCATCTTGCTTCCACTAAGCATATTGAGCAAACGCGCATACGGTATCTACTCATAAACAAAGTATAAGCGAAGACTTCTTGATTGTCAAGCAAAGATCCGCCATACGATCATTGAAAACAAACAAGACTACTTGCATCACGTTTAAATCCACCGCATGATACTAAACATGATAACAAGGTTGTCGGAACTTACGGAGGTCGACGGATCGATGACTCCTCTCGAAGAACTCGACGACACGACAAAAGGATTCGAAAGTTGGCACGGGGCGGTTGTATTGATTTGGTTGTGAACGCCTATTACAATGGTCGAGGGTCAATATTTATACCCTAGACGAAACACGAGTCCTAAAAGACTACGATTTACAAAGGAACTCTTTAAATAAACTTGGAAACTACGATTCCTTGCCCCAAACTCTCGAGTCCTTTATTATTACAACTTTCATCTTCTCGATCAGCTTTGCTTGCCATCTTACGCTTTCCGAATGGAGTTATCGCCTTCCGAATAACCGACCGCACAAGCATTTAGCCGACCGCTTGCGTTATTTGCCGAACACTCTTCTTCCTGCATGTGGGTCCACCTGTCATCTTCCAGAATTGACCAAAATCCAGTGTTAACACACTCCAACGGTTAGAACCCCTTCTTGCAACTGTAAAGTTTCTGGAAGAATCATCTCATTCGACCATCCTATAGGCAGATAATATATTGACACTTCATTTTTTCCCCTAAACCTTGAAAAGGGTCTTAAGTAAACGTCGAGCTTCCCCAGTCATGCCCGGCCTTGAAAATGCTCTGGACATATAACTGATAGTGCCTTTAGATGGTTTAAATCCTAGCTCTTTCATATCTTTGAGAAGTATTCTTACCTCAGTTCCATTTCTAAGCTTTGACCATCCATTCAAAAGGATATCATAAGTTGATGACGTAAGTAAAACTCCTCTCCTTTTCATCTCACTGAACAACTCTTTAGATTGATTCATCATTCCAGCTGTAGCAAAGTCACTCATGAGTGAATTATACGTGCTTGCTTTGGGAATAAAGCCTTTACTCACCATCTCACAATACAGCCTCAGTGCTTCAACTTTGTTGCTTTTCTTTGCATATCCTGTCACCAGTATATCATAGGTGAGATTATTGGGCTCAAGGCCCATCTTCTTCATCTCACTGAGAACAGTATCCGCTTCTCCAATTCTTCCAGCGGACTCAAGGCCACCCAGAAGTGTGTTGAATGTAGCTATATTAGGAGAGAGGCTTTGATGAAGCATCTGAGCATACATTGCAAATGCATTATCTAGATGGCTGCTCTTACAATGGCCAAGAATGAGAGCATTGAATGTGATAGTGTCTGGTGCAATTCCTCTCCCCAACATTTCATCCAAAACAACTGTAGCTTTCATTGTCATTCCGTGGCAACACAAAACATGCACGAGTGTATTGTAGACAGTGATGTCAGCATGAAGACCAGCACTCATCATCAATTCATGAATTTCCAAAATCACATCCGGCTTCCTGCCTCCAGAACATGCTTGCAGCACCCTTTGATGAGTCAGAGAGGTTGGAGTGAATCCAGCAGAAGCTATCTCATTTAGCAAAATTTTTGCCTTGGCCACAACCCCGGCCTCAAGAAGGCCCACAACAAGTGTAGTATATGTGATGAGATTAGGCTTTATTCAATTCCACTTCATTTCCTTCAGTAGCTTTAGAGCTTTGGAGGTCTTCCCTTCCCTGCACCGTGCAGCAATCATAGTGTTATATGTTGCTTGATCAGGTTCTAAGCCTGTATTTCTCATCTCTTTCAAAAAGGATTTTGCTTCACTGAACTTGCCTAGCGTGCAAAGGCAATTGATAAACACATTATAGACAGCAGCATCAGGTGACAGGTTTTTCTCCATCAACTCCTGACCAACCTTAAAAGCTGTTAGCATAGGCGCCTGATAGGGCTGTTATGGGCCTGGTGTTAAGGCCCATGCGGCTAGTGCCTTAGGGGTTAAGTTAGATTGATAAGGCAAGGATCACCGTTGATTGGGTGTTTCTATAAACCCTCCGGATCCTTGCCTATATATATTGTACCCTGTACTCTTGATAATCAATCTATCAATCCCGAGACATATTTGCTTTCAAAAGCAGCTGGCATGTTTCCTGTTTTAAAAAGCCCATCCATTAAGGTGGTATAGTTGACATGGTCTAGCAACAGACCACGTTCACCCATATCTTTAAATAATGCTTCAGCTCCCTCTATATTCCCATTCTTTCTCAAACCATTCAGCAGTGAGTCAATGACAAAGTTGTTTGCCTCAACACCCTCATGCAACATATCACGGTACACATCAAGAGCTGCTTCTTGCCCCTGGAACTTGAAGAAGCCATCGATAAGTGTTCCATACGTCACAACATTAGGAGCAATGCCACTGTCCTTCATCTTCCTCATATAATCAGCTGCTTTGCCGAGACATCCCCTTTTAACAAGACCATTGATGATCGATGAGAATGTGACAACATTCGGGCGAAGAGATTTCTCCTCCATTTGCAACAACACCTGCTCTGCGCCATCGATATTGCCAGCTCTGCAGTGTGCATCGACCAGTACAGTGTAAGCTACACAGTTGGGAGTAATATTATCCGACTGAGCATGCCAAAGCACATCCTTAGCTTCCTCAATCTTCCCTTCCTTACCTAAACGGTCCATCAGAGCTGTATACATGACCAGATCCATGACCACGCCCCTTGAAACCATCTCTCCCAATAGACCAAGTGACTCATTGCCCCTCCGCGCTTTCGCCAGTGAATCAATAAGCGTACAATCGGTCACATGGTTCGGCGCAACTCCAATCTTGTCCATCTCCCTGAAAAGCGCATATGCCTCTGAGAACTGGCCATCCCTGCAGAGGCCATCGACAAGAGCACTGAGCGTGACCACATCAGGCAGCACACCCGACCTGACCATCCCCTCGTACAAACTGAACGCCTCGTCAATCCCCTTCCTCTTACAATACTCCCCAATGAGCGTCATGTACGTCACCACATTCGGTTCCACCCCATCAGCCTTCATCCTCTCCACTACCTCCAGTGCAGCATCAGCATCGCCGGAGTGGCAGAACCCAGCAACCAGGGTATTATACCCCACCACGTCAAGCGCCACACCTTGTGTTCTCATCCTCTCCACCACCACCAATGCTGCGGCCATGTCCTGTACTTTACCGTGCCCGTCAATGAGAGCATTCCATCCCACCACATCCAAGCCATCAATTCCTCGGCCTCGGAGCAGCATCTCCGCCAATGCCTCGGCCTCGCTGACCAGGCCGGTCCTGCAGAGCCCCACGAGCGCCGTGCTCACGGTGACCCCGTCCCAGGGCACGCCGCGCTTGCACATCTCGGCGAGCACGGGCGGCGCGAGCCTCCCGTGGCCCTGCTCGGATAGGCCAGCGAGGAAGATGTTGTAGCTGACGGTGTCAGACGCGACCTGCGCCTGGGCCCCCGAGGAGGAACGGAGCAGGCTCAGCGCGGGGCGGAGCGAGCGGAGGCTGCAGTAGGAGAGGGTGATGGAGTTGAGGGTGAGGGTGTCACCTGGGACGGGGCGGAAGCGGACGGCTGCGGCGGCGAGGCCCGAGGAGGCGAGGGCGGGGATGAGGCGGCGGAGGAGACGGGCGGGAGGCGAGGCGGGGAGTGAGGAGACGACGTGGGAGGCGACGGAGAGGCGGCCGGCCCGGAGGAAGGCGAGCGCGAGGGAGCAGAGGAAGGAGGCCTGGAGGGCCGGGGTTAAGCCCTGAGGCGGAGATGCCGCCATGGTGGTGGTGGTGGTCGGCGACGAGGGGAATGGAGTGGAGGAGCGGGGAGGCGGGCGAGGTGCGGAAGAAGACGAGGACAAAGCCCGTTGGGCCTGGGGTGGGAGAAGCTGGTGGGCTTTGTGGATGAGCGTTATGATGTGGGGAAGACTTTTAGCCCAGAGAGTTGTGCCAGAGTCACTGTCTGCAAAGGGTACTTGATGAGGTAAAAGTTCAGCTTTCCAGCTTGCGATCCCTTCAAATCCTTCGTGCACACCATTGAAGATAGCCTAGGTGTAACTTCCGAAACTATTGATTGATTATGCTGTTGATTTCAACCCCTTTTCATCCCAGGATCGTCAAGTCTATGTTGCTGCTTTGTGTGATTTCAATCCCATTTCATCCGGATGAGTGTACTAGCACTCTTGTGAAGTAATAAAAAAAAAAATTGGAACTTTAAAGCCCCTGCCAGTTTTACACAAGGCAATGGGGTGCTTTAACATAGCCTGATATGGTGTACAACGGTGCTGTCATAAAAACAATTCCATGAATTTGAATTGCCCAATAATTTCCTACAGACTGATTTCCTCAGTGATTAACCGTCGGTGTTCTTCTCAACGTCCTTGCCACTGCTCAGATCCTCAAAGATTTTACGCCCTGCTGTACACATAGCTTGCTTCCGACTTTTGTGGAGAGAGAGAGAGAGAGAGAGAGCTGGATTTTCCATCTGCTTCATGCGCCGCTCAATCATACCTTGCAACTGTACAAGGAAACACATTTCATTTCTGCAAACAACAAATAGCTGGAACAATTTAATTTACAACCAACCTCAGTGTGGGTACGCACATCACTGGCGAAGAGGTTAGGCCACAAACAACGTCAGCTGTTGTTGGAGCTTCATCTAACAGCCCCTATGGATTCTGTTGCCGAGGTCATTCAAACTTCATCATTTTTCCACTTGGCCCCATCCCAATTGCTTCCCACCGCTCCCTAGCAGAAACACATACTTGTCAAAACATAAACCGCTCTTTACACATTCAAGGGTGTTCTCACAAATATAGGTTGCAGCACAAAATATAAATGGCTCCAGCTATTAATATCCGATCATAGGTTAGCAATAATATTACCCAGGTCCTAATTAAAACAGAACACATCCAACCATGCTCTCCCAAGCTGCTAAGAAAGACCATCAGCCTGTTCGTTTGGCTGGGCTTGTTCGTTGCTGATTCGTAAAGAAGTACTGCTGACTGGTTTGGTGTGAGAGAAAAATACTGTTCCGGCTGAAAATTTACGATCGTTTACGACAAGCACAAGCCAACCGAACAGGCTGATGGTCTTTCTTAGCACATGCCATAAGGAAGAGATAGATCATCCAAAACTTCAACTTCACATGATGCTGTTGCGGAGGTCATTCAAACTTCATCCTTTTTCGAGTTGCCCTTGCCCCCATCCCAATTGCTTCCGTCGCTCCCTAGCAGAAACAGGTATTTGTTGTCAAAATATAAACAACTCTTTACCTACTTCAAGGGTGTTCTCACAAATATAGGTTGCAGGACAAAATATAAACGGCTCTTTCATTCAATAATAAAAGTTGGAACAGCTTTAGAAGAAACAGGGCGTCGATGACAATTATGGATATCGAAGTTTATCGCTAGCATTTCAACAGTGCAGTATTTTTCTAAAGATTAATTAGGAATACTGACATGATTGCATCATGCTGTGGTCATCTCCAAGGCAAAAGTCTTTCGAAACAGGAGCATATCCTAACACTTAAATTTTACTTGGGAAGTTATGCGGCCCACGTGGTACACGAGATAGGATCCTACTGATCCGAATCCAGAATCTATTTAATGGAGACACTTGTTTGTATTCATGTAAGGAACAGTCATCTAATCTTAATGACAGGTGAAAAGTAACTGACACCAAATTCTCCACCAAACAGAAGTCACCGAATTCTTTTTCCTCATGTGGTGTGATTAGGTTAAACACTAAAACCAATCGCGGGAGCAGGCTGCTGGAGAGATGACATTTGTTAAGACAAAACAAAATTGCTGATAAACATGCTGATGAACACATAGGCCTGTCATGTCATCATGTAATATGAAGCATTATGTATGGGCCTAAAAAAGATTCAGTAAATTTCTAGTTTTCTATACTCTAACTGAATGCAGACAGACAGGAATTCACAACTATACAAAAGCATAAAACCGATCCATGCAATTAGAATTGATATAAAACTAAATGTGCTGTACATAGCGGTAGTAGTATATGTACGTACCCGGTGATACTTTGAGCCCCACTGGGAGTGGGAAACACTGGCGGCGAGGAGGTAGCGCCATCTCACCAGTGCTCTTGGGTGTTTTTGCTGGTTGGCAGAGATGACCCTGGTTTTGCGCGTGTCAACAGAAAGCAGGAGCTTCACTCCCCTAAACCGGCAGCCTTCCACGCGCTCCACATCACCCGGAATGACAAGGTAGACGACATCATGTTCTAGCATGCTTAGGATAGGGAACAATGGCGTGATCCTTGGCACATCATTGGAGATAAATGTCTTATCTGCCCAGAGATCTTCTAGAAGCAGCTTGGTGTCTGCCATCCAGCTAGGCTGGGATGGGTTATCCAGGTCCAGGGTATAGGTAACGAGCGAGATTGGGCCGCCCTCCATGAAGCCATCCATGGTGAGAAACTTGATGGTGCCGCCGTCAACGCAGGCGGCGTTGCGGAATTCTAGCGGGTTCGACCACCAGGGGGTTTTCTTCGCTGACGGAGCAGCCATGGGACAGCTGAACAAAAGACATGTCCAACAAGTCCGACGAGTCGACCTCGCATTGTCGTCCCGGATCGCAGAGTAGCAATCCGTGGAGAAGATCGACCCAGCATGCAGAAGAGGTTCCTGTTCCTGCTTTGGACAGGGACCTCGTCGCGGGCTTCCTGCGCTGGGCATGCTCTGCCTCTGGCAGTCGTCGTTATGCTCGTGGGTCTACAAGCGCGGCCAGCTCCCCGCCGAGGTGGAGGTGCTCCATACGTGGAGGATTCACAGCCCCGTGAGCGCCGTGCTCACGGTGACCCCGTCGTCCCAGGGCACGCCGCGCTTGTACATCTCGGTGAGCACGGGCGGAGCGAGCCTCCCGTGGCCCTGCTCGGAAGATGTTGTATTGTAGCTGACGGTGCCAGCCGCGACCCGCGACTGCGGCCTCGAGGAGGAACGGAGCAGGGTCAGTGCGGGGCGGAGCGAGCGGAGGCCGCAGTAGGAGAGGATGATGGAGTTGAGGGTGAGGTTATCACCTGGGACGGGGCGGAAGCGGGCGGCGGCGGCGAGGCCCGAGGGGAGGGCGGGGAGCCGGGGATGAGGCGGCGGAGGAGGCGGAACGGGCGGGAGGCGCGGAGGAAGACGAAGACAAAGCCCGTTGGGCCTTGGTTGGAGAAGCTGTTGGGCTTTAATTGCTCCTAGATGAGCCCAGTGTTAGGAAATGCCAGCCCAGCCCAACATACGTTTGGTGTTTATCGCCGACGAACGCGCCGCTAAGTACAAGTCGAGAAAAGCAGCTGCATGCGTTCAACACTTCAACTTCTCTTATCTTTACTCCAAAAAAAAAAAACTTCAACTTCTCTTATCTGCGAATGGAAAAAGGAAAGAAGAAAGAAAGCGTCCAACTATGGACTCATATGTGCCACGTGCCGAGCCATCAACTATGACTGACATTTGAGAAAACTTTCAAAAAGGTGTACTAGCATTTGGATGAATCATCATCATGTACAAGTTGCTTTTTTTTTTGTACTTGCCATGTGCTTTAAACCTGTGTTGATACAATGGTACATATAAAAGTACTACGCATCTAATTGATTGTTTCCATTAATTTTAATAGATATTAGACCTTATACAGTATAATAACCTAAGCTAGCATAAAGGTGGCCATAGTCTTGATGTTTAATTGTTCTTCACATGAAAGCAGTATTTGATAAAGTTATGTTTGCTTATTTATCCTTTGTTGCATGTAGTTACTTCTATGTTTTAGTTAAGGTCTCATGTTTCTTGTATAGGCATGCGATGAGAATATTTCATTTTATGTAACATATATTGGCCTGTATAAGTTTTTATCGTCTAATACAATCAAATCTGACGTACTAGCTAATGTAGCATTGGATCTCCTTTATTTGAGCACCGTACAAGTATGCATAAGAGCCTATGAAGACAACCAATCATGAATAAACTATATGGCACAAAACTAAATATAGGCTAATACATATGGAACCAATCTATATATGTTGCCACATTAAAGGGCATATATGTCAGGAGGTGCCTCAAGAATCATCATAATTTTTTTTTTATTTTTGATGAGGTGTGCACTAACATATATAGACTTTCAGAAAAAATTAAGGCGTGTATTTAGCACTACGTGCTTTTTCAAACGAGCGCGGGGGGGTGGCAAAGGCTCTTACTTTGATTTGTTTATGAAACCCAGATAAATATTGAGGCTCATATAAACACACATATACCCATTTTAGTTATATAGAAAAAATCAGATTGCTCGTGTAGAAATTTTCTTTGGTCATTGGTCGTGTATGGTAAGAGGGAGAACATGTACCAGCAAATTATTAAAATGAAAGGTATATATAGTGTGCTGGTCCTATATTATTATATCTCGAATGGCGCGAGCCCTGTTCGTTTCGCTAAAATTTGACTTATGCAGATGCTTATGCTGATTTGTTGTGAGAGAAAAACACTGTTCGTTCGCTGAAATAATTTGACTTATAGTGTGTTGGTCCTATATTATTATATCTAGAATAGTACTTTTCAAGTGTACATGCATGCATGCTCACGCGGTAATAACTTTGCGGAGCTAGCTAGGGGGTGGAGGAAATAAGTAAAATGTGCAACTCGTGCTTTGGCACCCGAACCGATCCATGCATCGCGTGTGTATCCGCCGTCGGTGGATGGCCGAATAATAATCCCACCACCACCACCAGGGGACAGCAGCAGATTGATGGACACAACATGGCCAGCTAACATTTACTACGCCCT